GTAGTTAGCGTAAGTAGTAATAACAGCAAAATTTCTCTTAGATTCTTTAATAAGATCCTCAAAAGCAATTTCGAAGTTTTCATCAACGCTATTAAGTTCAAACTTTGTTCTTAAGACGATATAATCAACATAAATGTCCTTATGAACCATATTAGCATACTTAAATAGGTCATCATACCTATTTAGTTTATAGAGAATGTAAATGTATAGTCTGATAACACCAGAATGTTCTTTAAAATTGATGAATTTTTCAAGATCACTACTAGCTTCAATAATATTACCTTCTAACAGCTTGACATGAATAATCTCTAATTTAATAACCAGATAGTTTTTATAGCCTTCAGGAGTACCAATGATCATCTTAAGGATTGTTTGAGCTAGTTTATACTCACCTAATCTTTTTTTACAAACAGCAATTCTGAACAATGAAATAATCTTACTAGCTCTACAAGTACTTCTATAAGTTATGTAACTAAACTGAGTCAAGGCAGTTTCATATCTTTCAATGTAGAGATTAAACATAGCGATAATTTCAAGAGCGTATAAGTCAATGTTATCATGTGGATTACGACTGAGGTATGAACAGATATGTCTATAAGTATGTAGGGGGTTCCCATTGAAAAGACACAGTGCAGCTGATAGAATATCAACTGTGTAATGTTTTGGATCAATAAGAGAAATCTTAGCAATAACTCTATCAAGTCCAGCTGCATCCCTATTATCCATTTTTATTTTTCCTTTCTCATACATTCTTTCAATAGTTTCGGAAGCTTCGTTTCGAGTATCTGGCCTATAATTAGCAGTATCTTCATCAACTCTCTGATTGTTAAAATTTTTTTCATCCGACTTTTTAATCATGGGTGAAAAATTAAAAAATTTTTTTTAATTTTTTATTAAAACAAATCAAAGAAATTATAAAAAGAATGAAAGTGTTTATAAAAATAAAAAGTTTCTAAATAAAAATAAAAAAATATATTAATATTTTTAGTCATAAATTGATCAATTTTCTTAATAAAATTGATTAAAAAATTTATTATTAAAAAATTAAAGTTTAATAAGAAATAATTATTTTGAGAATAACAATCAATTTTTTTATAAATTTTTTTATAAATTTTTATTAAAATGTTTTGTAAATGTGGTTGTTTAATTTCTTATCCAAAAGAAGTGGATGATCAATTAATTTGTAAAAGATGTT